TCATCACATATATTTTTTTGTAACTTTTTCTGATTATTTCGATCTTTTTGTTAACCATTTTTTTTTTATTAACAGTCCTAAAGAGCTAAAACTATCTAACAAACCTAAAGACTAAAGAGCTAGAACTACTCCCCCCACACCAGAAATTTACATTGTCCTCAATGGAGCAAAGAAAAACAGCCAGCAAAAAGACAAGAATAGGAGCTTCCCTGAAGGCCAACGAGGGCACGACAGCAATAAGGGGAAGGAGGATGAGGCGGCCAAAAATTAATGTGAGCAAAGAAGACCGCCAGATTTTCGGTCTGAATAGTAGCATGGACCTGCAAGGCTGCGAGACGGTCATCCAGACATTCAACCCAACTGCCCAAGTCATGAATCGAATCCTGCAGAGTATGGAACTGGGTGTCCCAAGAGGATGGAGCAGCGGAGAAGGAAGGACCTACCTGACCAGCCTCCGAGGTGGGCGCAGTAGGTGGAACTCGGGGTTGGGGCACACCCTCTCCAGGAGGTGTGAGCTGATAGGCCTCCCCCACCTTGCGAATGACGCCCATCCGCTCCAAACTGCGCAGGTCCAAAGGCTCAAGCTCGCGAGCCCGGTGAGCTTATGGTTAGGGGTGGCAATTGGTTCCGTTTTGGGTTGACGGGTCGGGTTGAGATCCGGGTATAACAAAAAATTCGCTGACCTGAACCTGACCCGCTAACTCGAAACGGGTCAGAAAACCTGACACGAACCCGAAATTTCAGGTTGGCGGGTCGACTCGAAATGACCCGAAACTTAATTTTAATTTATTAATTTACCACTGTAATTTCTAATAAAATCAATTTCGTACAAGACTAATTACATAATCAAGTAATACAAATTTAAATAAATAATGCCAAACCAAATCTAAAATAAATTAAAATATCGTAAAAGTGTTTTATCCCAAATCAAATATAAAATAAATTAAAACAGTATAAAAATAAAAATTAATATAATACATTATTTATCCAAATATAATAATTTCAACTTAACACAAGTTAAATAAATTCATTTAGGATTAAGTGATTAATGTCTTTGGAAAAAAAGAATAACTTAGTTTAGTTAGATAAAATAATTTTTATATTTATTAAATTATTTTTAATTCGTAAACGGGTTATCGGGTCATATCAGATCACCCACGGGTTGACCCGAATTCGACCCGTTTTCTTTTCGGGTCCATCGGCTTCGACCCGATTCTGACTCGAATCCGCGAAACCTCAATCCAAACCCATTAATTTCGTGTTAGATTCGTGTCGTGTTTTCAAATCGTATCGAAAATTGCCACCTCTACTTAGGGTCCTTATCAAGGTCAAACACTTCCAAGCAGACGGCCAAGTGTGTGATGAATGAGCCCATAATCAAGGGTTTATGGCGCTTGCGGAGGACGGACTGCAACTGAGAGGCTACCCAACAGCCAAAGTTGACCTGGACCTTGTTACGCATGCACCAGAGGAAATAAAATTCAGCCTTGGCGAGAGTGCCGGAGGAATCTTTCCGGCCCGAGAAGTTATAGGCCAGAAACCTGTGAATGACCTTCAACACTGGATCCTTAAGATAGGAGGTCTTGGACTGATTCGGATCGTAGAATTGAGTGTCTGTGGACCACTCCCTTCAGATCTCGATACAATTGCTAGCAAAGGAGTGGGTGAAGTCGCATGCACTATTGATAGATGTGTCGGAGGAGAAAGTGTCCTCACTCACAAACCCCAAGATTAGGTTGAACTCATTAATGGAATGTGCCTGTGGGGTACCCCGTAACCTATATTTAACCACCCCCGGTGTATCTAATGCTAGAGAATTAGATTTCTCAAATTCGAAAGTGGCATAAAACTCATAACAGAACTCCTCGTACGAGGGGTAGTCAATAACCAGAAACTGTTCCCACCCAATGGCAGAGAACAATTGCTCCACTTTTCTAGCAATGTTCAACTGGTCTAGAGTCGGGGGATGAAAATATTTGCATGGGGCAAACAGACGGACCACCAAGGAGCTCAACCGTTCCTTTTGCTCAGGTGTGAGGTCCTTTAGAAGTTCCCCCCACGCCCTAGGAGACAGAGCACTTCTAGAAAGACCCAATCAGGACCTAGTAGGAGGTTGAATCGGGGCCCGCCTCTTACGAGTGTTGGAACTCGATGCCTCAGATGGAGTGGCTTTTTTCGGAGCCATGTAGGGGCAAAGATGTCAATTACAAAGGTACAGAACCGACAAGAAAACACCAAATGGAGACAAATGACAGCACCCATAGTCAACAGTCAACAACAAATGACAGTGCAGAAACAAGGATACCCTACTGGCATCACTTTGTCAAAGAAAAGTAAAGAATGGCAGACAAAATACTCCAAAAATGCAATCAACACTCAATCTGTACCCAGCAACTAGAAATCACCAAGCCACGTGGGTCAAAGCACAGACCCACCACAACCAAAACAAAAACCCACAAATATTACAAATGCGGGGCGATGAGCACAAGTAAACATCCCAGGGGTTCGTCAATTGCGGCCCAAGTAAGAAGATAAAATTCAACAGAAAAACTCCAAAGTATAGGCACCAATGGCAAATAGAGAGTAGTTAGGGTTACCACTTGGCAAACCCACGGGGAACAACCATGGCGAGCGGATTATATAGTGCAAGAGTAGGTGCGGTAGGTGCGGTGGATTTCAAATGGCACTATTAAACAATCCAAACAACTAGCGCCATTGTTAAATGCCTATTAAACAATGCCTATTAAATGATTAAAACAAGAGACCATTTTAATTATTTTGCTCTATTTTAAATTCCGCGTTCGTCGGTATTTAATTATTCTTTATTTTAATAGCCTATTATTGTTTGGATCTTTTGGATCAATGTGGCCAATTGTTCAATAGTTTGAATAGTACACTGCCAATTAAGACGAGGGTGCGTATCACTTGATTGTCTTAAAGTTAGTGGCAAGCAACACAATTTAATCGCCTCGCAAGTGGTTTAATCGGTGCCATAGGAATGGCTAATTTAGTTTAAATAAACCCGCATGTGTGTTTGTTAACTAGAATTGGGTCTCTCTAATTCCTAAATCTGTGAATAGATTAAATCTTTCGAGCGTCTTTGGGGTTATCTATTTTACAAGGGGGTAGTTTAAGAGTGTCTCTAAACTACTATATAATTAAGGAGAGATTGGTAGTTTGGCGGTTGCTAAATTGCTAGAATCAATTTATTTGCGAACATGTGAATTATTCCTGTTATCTATGATCAATTGCATGAGCCGGTGTCGAGATTATCTCCTTGACTAGGTTGTGTCAATTAATTGTTAATTATATTTTTTAGTTACTGCACTGCTTGTGAGTTTTAAATTCAGTAATCTTAGCTTCTCTATTTGTGCTTTTGTCTTCCCTCCTAAAACCCCCAAATTATCTGTGTGATAAATCTACCGGATTCTTGAGGAGACGATCCTACTCACCACTATACTCGTTTAGTTTTGGTAGTAGGTCTTGATATAAATTTTATTTTTGATAGTTTGACAGCCACCAAATTTTGACGCCATTGCCGAGGACCTGGTGTTTGAAGTGATTTATTGCACAGGCTTGTTTAGCCTCTATTTATGCCTCAATCTTCCAGTACACGAAGACTCGAGTTTGACCCAAAAATCGAGAAAATCGTAAGGAGATTGACGAAGGAGACTAAGTTGCAAAAGCAACATGCTTCAGCGGCACTATCCCCCGGAGTTGAACAAAATTTTGACTTTGGTGATTCATCAGTTGAACTGGAGACAGACTTGACTGGACCCAACAAAATAATTGCAACCCAAAGGACTTTAAGGGAACTTGCAACTCCGAACGTTAACCAACAACCTCTGTGCATTACGTATCCTGACACTGAGGAGCCTTTTGAATTAAAATTTGGGTTGATTCACTTATTGCCTACTTTTCGTGGTATTGCAGGAGAGAACCCACACAAACACTTGAAAAAATTTCATGTAGTGTGTTCAACCATGAAATCTCAGGAAGTTACGGAGGAACAAATCAAGCTGCGTGCGTTCTCCTTTTCCTTAGCAGACAAGGCTAAGGACTGGTTGTTCTACTTGCCATTGGGGTCCATCATTACTTGGTAGGGACTGAAACGACAGTTCCTTGAGAAGTTCTTCCCAGCTTCTAGAACCGCCAACATCAAAAAGGAGATATGTGGAGTGTAGGCAGACCAATGAAGAAATTCTCTACGAATATTGGGAGCGATTCAACCAGCTGTGTGCTAATTACCCACACCTTCAGATCCCTGACCAACTGTTGATCCAGTACTTTTACGAGGGACTGCTACCCATGGATAGAAGCATGGTAGATGCAGCGAGTGGCGGTACTTTAGTAAATATGACAACAGATAAAGCCAAACGGCTGATCTCTAACATGGCTGAGAACTCTCAACAGTTTGGAGTCAGATCAAAGTGAGTGACTAGAAGGGTCAATGAGGTGAATCATTCTGACCTCGCGAATAAATTAACTTTACTAACTGCTCTGGTTCGTCAGATGGCAGTAGGGCATTTACATGCAGCTAAAGCATGCGGGATAAGTGCTGCCCCTGAACATGCGACTGATATGTGCCCAACCCTTCAAGAAGACTCTCACGAGCAAGCCAGCACCATGGGAGGTCTGCCTGGACCACCCCAAAGGAGGAATGACCAATATGCGCCCACATACAATGGCGGAACCACCCCAACTTCAACTATGCTCCAAAACCCTCGAGTTTCCAACGACCATTCCAGCAGAGACCACCAGTACAGCAACCATTCGCGTCTAATTCAGGGGTGTCCCTTGAAGATATGGTCAAATCACTAGCCAATAGCACATGTCAAATGCAGTAGGACTCACAGAGATTTCAATAAGAGACTCGCGCCAGCATTCAAAATTTGGAAGCGCAAATGTCACAACTAGCGTCTTCAATGAGTAACCTTGAAAATGGTAAATGAAAGTTACCATCTCAAGTAATTCCCAATCCAAAGGAGAACGCAAGTACAATGCTTCTACGAAGTGGCAAGAAGGTGCAGTTCTCAAAATCAGAAGCAGCAGGAGTGGAGGATGACCAAGTATCCGGGGAGCTTGAGAAGGAAAAAGTAAGCACCCCGCCAGATGTTCCTAAAACCTTTGACATTAACTCTCCGTTTCCTGGCAGGTTGGCTAAAGCCAAAAAAGAGGACTCAGTGAAGGAGATCTTGGACACCTTTAGGAAAGTGAAAATCAACATCCCTTTGCTTGATGCGATTCGGCAATTACCAAAATATGCAAAGTTTCTGAAGGGGTTGTGCACTAACCGAAACAAGTTGAATGTTCAAGACAAACTAAAGGTCGGTGAAAATGTATTAGCAGTCCTTCAAAGAAAGTTACCGCAAAAATGCAAGGATCCAGATATGTTCAGATACCATGCATCATAGGCTAGAAGAGGATAGAAAGAGGTATGCTTGATCTAGAAGCATCTATTAACATTATACCTCTGTCAATATTTAGGACCTTAAATTTAGAACCTCTAAAAGAGACAAGGGTAGTAATTCAACTAACTGATAGGTCAAATGTTTATTCTGAGGGTGTAGTTGAAGACGTCTTAGTAAAAGTTAATGAGTTTATCTTTCCAACTGACTTCTATATTGTTGACATGAATGATGATACCTCAGTTAATTCAGCTGTACTTCTTCTGGGTAGATCATTCATGAGTACTGCTAGAATAAAGATAGATGTACATGAAGGTACCCTGTCTGTAAAATTTGACGGGAAGACAATTACTTTTAACATTTTTGATGTGATGAAATACCTAGATGATACTGAGTCTATTAATTATTTTTGTGTTACTAATTCCATTGTGCAAGATCATTTTGAGCAGAATCTTATGGCGGACAAGCTGAAATTTATGTTACAACAGAGCAAGATGAATGAAGAGGTGGAAAGCGTGGATGATGAGGATACTGTAGAAGTAATTATGTCACTACATTCACTTCCTGCATTTCCTGACAGGTCAGTAGACGCATTTTTATCATTGCTTATTTCTAATGAGAGAATTTTACCCTCTGTTGAACAGGCACCAGAGTTGGAATTGAAGGAATTGCCAAAGCACTTGAAGTATGTTTATCTAGGAGATCATAACACTCTGCCGGTCATCATTGTGAGTGATCTGACAGCAGTACAAGAAAAAAAAACTCTGACGAGTGTTGCGAGAGTTTAAACCTGTAATTGGATGGACGTTGACAGATATCAAAGGTATAAATTCATCCGTTTGCATGTATCATAATCTACTTGAGTCGGATGCAAAACCAATGAGGGAATATTAGAGGAAGCTTAATTCAGCCATGAAAGAGGTGGTAATGAAGGAGATTCTCAAGCTATTGAAATTAGGAATTATTTTTCCTATCTCCGATAGTGAGTGGGTAAGTCCAGTGCATGTTGTCACTAAAAAAACCGGCATGACACTTGTGCGGAATGAGAAGAATGAGTTGGTGCCAATGAGACTTCAAAATGGGTGGAGAATGTATATTGACTTCAAGAAATTGAATGCGGTCACAAGAAAATATCATTTTTCATTACTGTTCATCGATGAGATGCTCGAGAGATTGGCAGGTAAGTGTTTCTTTTGCTTCCTTGATGGCTACTCTGGGTATTATCAAATCATTGTTGCCCAAGAGAACCAGCACAAAACCATTTTCACTTGCCCGTTTGGCACTTTTGCTTACCGCCGTATGCCTTTTGGGTTGTGTAATGCTCCTGAAACATTTCAAAGATGCATGATGAGTATTTTTTCTGACGTGACTGAAAATTGCATTGAAATATTCATGGATGATTTCACAGCCTACGGTGATTCATTTGATCAATGCTTACATCATTTAACCAAAGTTTTACAGCGGTGCATTGAAACAAATTTGGTTCTTAATTATGAAAAATGTCATTTTATGGTTAAGGAAGGTATAGTTTTGGGTCATGTTGTTTCGTCTAGGGGTATCGAAATCGATAAAGCAAAGGTTGATTTGATTACTAGCTTGCCTTATCCCACTAATATCAAGGAGATTCGTAGTTTTTTTGGCGATGTAGGTTTCTACAGATGATTCATCAAGGATTTCCCTCGAATTGTACAACCATTGTCCCGACTACTTCAAAAGGAGGCACCATTTGATTTTGAAGATGCGTGTAAAGTGTCCTTCGATACACTAAAGAGCATGTTAACCATGACACCGATCATTCAACCTCCGAATTGAAGCCTATCGTTCGAACTTATGTGTGATGCCAATCAATATGCGGTAGGAGTTGTACTCGATTAGAGAAATAGGAACTGTAGCCATGTCATTTACTATGCGTCAAAAACGTTGTCGCCAGCTCAATGCAACTACACCACCACCGAGAAGGAGTTTTTAGCGATTGTTTTTGCTTTTGAAAAATTTTGATCGTATTTGTTAGGATCGAAAGTAACAGTTTTCTCTGATCATGCAAGCTTAAAATACCTTTTGACAAAAAAGGAGTCCAAATCAAGATTCATTCATTGGATACTCCTACTGCAAGAATATGACTGGGAGATCAAGGATCGAAAAGGGACGGATAATTCAATGGCAGACCATTTGAACCTATTGATTCGAGAAGAAGAGGGAGTGCCCATATCCAAGGTATTCCCAGACGAACACTTATTTCAGCTTAGAGGTGAGGAATCTTGGTATACTTATATTGTTAACTTTCTGGTAAGTCACAAATTTTCAAGTGGTATGAGTAAGAATAAGAAGAATAAAATAATACAGGACTCTCGATATTATATTTGGGATGATCCCTATTTGTGAAAAATAGGTTCGAACCAGATCATTCGTCGATGTGTTTCAAATGAAGAAATTCATTCTATACTTACTCATTGTCATAGTTATGCCTGTGGTGGTCACTTTAGTCCTAAAAAAATTACTCGAAAAATACTTGATTGTAACTTTTATTGGCAAACCTTGTTTCGTGATACTTACTTGTTCTGTAAGAGATGTGAAAAATGCCAAAAGTTTGGGCGTTTTGCTCACCAGGATGAAATGCCTCAGGTTCCTATGTTATTTTGTGAAATTTTTTATGTCTGGAGTATGGATTTCATGGGACCGTTTTTCAGTTCTTTTGATTTTCTTTATATCCTGTTAGCCGTAGACTATATGTCGAAATGGGTAGAAACAAAGGTTACCCGAACTAATGATTCACGAGTTGTTGCAGGGTTTCTTAAATCCAACATTTTTAGTAGGTTTGGTGTGCTTAGAGCAATCATCAGTGACCAAGGTACTCATTTCTGCAATCGCACCATTGAAGCACTGATGCGTAAGTATGGAGTTCACCATCGAGTGGATACTACCTACCACCCACAGACCAACGGGCAAGCTGAGTCCCTAATCGTGAGATTAAAAGTATTTTGGAGAAAACAGTCAACCCAAATCGCAAGAATTGGAGCACCCGATTGGATGATGCCTTGTGGGCCTATCGCACGGCATATAAAATACCAATCGGAATGTCTCCCTACCGGTTGGTTTATGGTAAGATGTGTAATTTACCTGTTGCAATTGAGTATCGTGCGTTTTGGGTAGTTAAGTAGTGTAATTTGAACGCGGATAGATATGGCAAGAAAAGGAAACCCTAACTTCAAGAGTTGGAAGAAATCCACTTGGAGGCTTACGATAATGCCCAACTTTACAAAGAACGCACAAAATCCATCCATGATAAACTATTGCGTAATAAGCGATTCTCGATAGGGTAAAAAGTACTTCTGTTCAACTCTCGATTGAAATTCATGTCAGGTAAGTTGCGGTTCCGAAGGATTGGACCTTATGTTATTGTCAACATTTTTTCCAATGGTGCAGTCGAAATTAGAAGTTTTGAGACTAACAAAAGTTTTAAAGTTAACGGTCATCGTCTCAAACCGTTTATAGATGTTTCAGAAATTGGCACTGTGGAGGAGGTCCAGTTGCTCAACCCCGGGTCTAATTAATTTGTTAAAATACTTTTGGTCTGGCCACAGACGTTAAATAGAGGCGCTACTTGGAAGGCAATCCAAGAGTTTCAATTTTTGTGTTTTACTTCATGTTTTTGTGTGTTCAAGTTCAAATTGTTTTAGGTTCCTATTGACAGAAAATCTTTCTTATAGGTCGTGGGTATGTTCTGTGCCGTTTTATTTTGGATTAGAGGTAAAATTCTGGAGTAGAAGGCTTTCTGTTCTAAGGCGTGCCCACGCCTTGTATTAAGTACAAATGGGTGTTTTTAAAGAGTGATGAACAGAGGACTTACACTCCCAAGGCGTGCCCATGCCGCACAGCGAATCGCATAGGCCCTGTTACAACGAGGGAGGCAGACAACTTCGGCTTCCAAGACGTGCTCACGCCTTACTGAGCATCGCGACATATAAAAACAAAAAGTCAACAGCGTTTGGACCCACTCTGAACCCTACTTTTCTACTTTTTCCTTTCTTGTCTTTTCTTTCCTTATTTCCTTTAGTCGCCCCTGGTTTTCTCCCCTTTTCGCTACAATATCCGACCACCGCCGCCTCCGCTCACTTCCTCTTCACAGCAAACCACCACTGCCACCGCTGCCGCCACGAACAGTGACGCAAACCCACGGCCACCGCGCGCCTCCGCCGCTGTCCGTTTGCCCCCGTGCGTCTTTCCCTCTCCCTCTCACGCCCACGGCCGTCCGCCGCTATCATACGCCGCGGCCAACCGCTCTACCACCAACCGCCGTCCCAACGCGCCACCGCCTTCCTCGATTGCACGTTGCTCTCCCTCCTCGCGCACGTCGCCACCGCTGTCCTCAGAATCGCCATTGGGTGGCCACGATAGCTGGTGCCTCCTACTCTAGTTGTGAGAACCCTAGAATTTGCATATTTCCTTAGTCTATTGTTTCTTCTCATTTTCTCCTCTTAAGTGCAAATTTGTTAACTAATCGTTGGAAACAATGGAAGGCCTTGTTGTTATGTGTATTTATGTGCGAGATATGTATATAAAGTATATTAGATTGAATGAGTATACAAGTTAAACTTGAAGATAGGTATGTTCATGGTTTGAAAATGATTGAGTTAATAAGTTTTGATATAAAAGGATAAACGAATATTAAGAATGTTAAATTTATATATTAAGGTCAAACTTGATTTTAATAGCTTAAATAATAAGGTAAGAATGATAAGTGATCACTTACGTATTATAAATTTACCATTGAAATCATTAATTTGCTCAAGAAGTAGGCTGTCCTGCTTGAATGTCTCGTTTCTTCAGGAAAATGAATTTTTGTCTTTGAATAAGTATATAAAAACAATTTTAAAGTTGCAAACACGTTAATCGTGCAAAATATTGAGTTATTTGACTCTCGCCAAGTTAGAATAATATTTCTTGATGTAAACTATTTTATTGTTTTAAGATTAATTCCTTGAATTTCCGATAGCTAGTTTTAAGCGTTAATAACATTAAGTGTTAATAGGAACCTTAGAATTAACATGAATCGATATATTTTTGATAAACCGTTACAAGTACATTGGGTACACTTAGGAGGTTAAAATCTCGATAATTGAATTTTGCAAGGTTAGGATATTAGTAGGCATTTGATTTACAATTGGGGTAAATTTTGGATTTGGTTTAGAATTGAGGGTTTAAGTAGGAAACTCGGGTGAATTGTGAAAAGACCAAATTGGCCTTCTCCAAGTCAAATTTATCCATGCAGCCATGGAACATTCCAAACAATTCCAATTCCTGCCGGTTCCATTTCCCACGTTTCATTCCAGCCTTTTCCATTTGATATTGCCGACCAACTCCACTCACAGCCTCACCTTATATACATTACACTACTCACACACTTCATTATATCATTCTCACTTCACCACAATCTCACAACTCCAATTTCTTTCCTGCCGTGAACTGTGAGGGAGCAGCCTTGGAATTATCGATCGGGAGAGAGTGAGAAAGAGCCGAGCTTCTTGTTTCTTTTCTCTCTGTCCGTAAACTAGAGAGGGAAGAGAGGGACTTGCGATTCAGTTTGTCTTTCATCCGTGAGCTGGTGAAGAGCTTGAGACCAGATTTTCTTCATCCTAGTGCCGAGCTTGAGCAAGGGAGAGGAAGAACTAGCAGGCTAAATTTCTGGACAGCCAAGAGTGGAGGTTTGTTGCAGCTACTAGTCGTGTGTTTTAGGCTTCAAGCTAAGGTAAATTCTGGACTTAGATGAATTGTTTATAGGTTGATGAAGCTGTCTATACGCATGCATGTGGGTTTGTGAGGTTAGATGAGGAATTGAGACTTAAGAAATCTGGTTTGGAAGAATTGAAGCTGCCGAAAGTTTGAGCTGGAAATTTGTAACTCTAATTAGCTAATCTGTGATAATCCGAGCCTAGATGCACATTTAATCAACTAAAACCTGGATGATTAAGCTTTGTATGAAGGTAATTAACCTTGATTAAGACAGAAAATTGAAAAGATACAAAATCAGGTTGCATGCAAGCCAACCGAGAGCAGGATTGTTTGAATTTCTGGTTGAGTAATGTTTTGATGTTGTCCGAACTTGCTTATAGATCAAAACTGATAGATAACTGATTTTTGGGTCATGCATGTAGCTGATGAACCGTGAGGAAAGAAAAAAAAAGAAAGAAAAAAAAGGGAAAAAACTGAAAATGTGGCCGAGAGCTTGCATGTGAGTTACCGCCTGTTACTGTTGAAGAAAAATGGAAACTAATGGTAGTTTTTGCATGTGATATGTGAGTCTTAGATTTTTGGAAGGTTTAGTTGAAGAAAGCTTGAGGAAAAGTTGAATTTTGGATTGAAACCGAGAGAGATTTTCTGCTGCAAAAATTTTCCAGCTTATCCAAGAGAGGAACTAGACAGATTCCTAACAAATTTTATGACTTTGGGTCTTGAATTTCTATGTTAAACTGGATTATGTATATACATATGTATTAGCATGGTTTGGTTCTGCATGTAGCCGAAATGGGCCGTGAAAAAAAAAGGGAGAGTAAAATTTGTACTTCAAGCACTTGGGAAGCTGTTAAAAAAATATTCCAGCTTGGTCGAGAGCATTTAATTAATTTTTCTTCGAATTTTAATTAAGATTTTCATATTGGCTGTTTAAGATTTGCTTGAAGCTTGCTAATCACCTTTTGCATGTTGAGCTGAGGTAAGAATTGAAGAAAACTAGGAACAAAAGCTATATAAATAAACTACTCTATTGTTGGAAATTTGATTTGAAAGCTGGCCGAACTAATTGAGATCTTTTAGTGAGTATTGGTTGTCAAGAGCTAATGATTGATGAAGCTCTTGACCATTTGAGTAGTTTTGCAATAATTTAATTTTTGGTGAATTTGTTCAAGTGGTTGGTTGAAATGTACTTGGAAGGTCCATGGGTTGTGATTTGGGATTGCTTTAGTACCTTGGACTTCCTTTGTTGAATTTTAATTGTACTAGAATTTGTTGAGACCTAGGGCTAATGATTGATGAAACCCTAGTGAAATTGATATTTGGTTTGTAATGTTTCAATCTTGGTGACTTGGGAATCCATTGTGCAAATGAGCTAGAATTGTAAAAACCGTTTTGGTTTTCTTGAACCTGAATACTTTCAAAATCAAATTTCGTGGGAATACTCAGCTTTAATATCAAGTGATAGAATTTGAGTTTAGTATGTATTATTAAAAAGTTAGATATTGGGACTTTAAAAACCTTGCCGACTAGTTAATTCTTTTATTTTGCTTAAGCTAGTTTTATTACCTTTAGGGAGTAATTGTATTTAACTTTTAAACTTTAAGTTCCATAAAACTATTCTTGACTAGTTGTTTTAAAGGAAATTTGAAAAAATACTAGATTTGAATGATTTCAAATAAAAGGATAGAAAACTTATTCGGCAAAAAAACCGTTTAAACCAATTTGGTTCTAGTTTGCCTCTAGAGGGGAAATACCTTTAAAGAAACCACACGAAACATTTTATTCCTTTACTAGCTTTGATTTTTAGAAATTTATTGACTTGTTGCGGGAAATTAAATTAGTTTTATATAAGATAACCTTTTATATATAAAACAAGGGTTTGCTTAGTAAAACTTATAGTTTTTAAAACTTGGATTTCTAGGGTTTAGCGAGGACGCAGATTTCGATTCCCCGCGTGAGTTGTGACTACACTCTTGGTGAGTGTTCCTTGTTTGTTATATTTCCTTGACTTATTGGCTTGATCTTATTGCTTGATAATGTGTTAAGTGCTTTCAATGATTGTCAAAATGAGTTTTCAAGGCGAGTGTGTACTTTATCGCACTTAGCCTAAATGATTGTGAAATTTTAATGATTGAACGATTGACATGTTACTTGCGCATGAATGTAAGCCTTTTGGGCTGAACTGGCCATTGCCCTTGTTACCGATCGTCTCGAGCCAGAAGCGGACTCGATTGGGCGATTAGGGACCTGGGTGAACGTTCCGGTATACTCGAGTATTACCTTGTAGGTTGGTGGAGCCTGGCCAAAAGCCAGGGACGGGGTGAATGAGAGGAATGAACGAATGAATGAACGAGGGATTTTACTTATACAAAATGCATTTTGCAAATGACTGGAGGAATAAGGGGAAATGTCAGGAGAATGAACGAACGAACGAACGAACATATGGCTCCTTGTGAGCCCGTATCCTTTTCATGAATGTGTTTATTGCTTTATTTGTGCTTGTATCTTGAATTATTGGTTATATGTAATGAATGCGTTGATTTTCTTGTTGCCTGTGTTCGGAACCTCACTGAGCTTTAGCTCACCACACGATATTTGTTTTCCTTAACAAGTTCCGGAAATCGAGAGACTTGAAGTCTATCTTATCATTTTGTAAATATTATTTCGAATCGTACTTGTATCTTTGTTTTGGGTTGTCACCTGAAGCTGGAAAAGTGCAAACCCTAAGATTTGGCTTGTATGAATGTTATCTGAGCTTTATGAACTTACTGTGTGGTTTCTATTGTATATTTGAATTTATGTGGTGATCTGGTCGGAGATGTATTTAGGAGTGAACGGGTGGATGTTCAATGGTAAGGTTATCTCTGAAGTTAATGTGTTTTAGTATTCAAGTCGCTTAAAAGTTGGCATGTTCGGATGGCGAATTGTGTTTTGGTTTAAGTTATACGTGGATATTTGGTCGGTTTGCTTGCGTGAGTCCTGGCGAGAGCTAGGCAGGCGACCCGCCAACCCTCTGGTTCGCCTTAGGGAGAAGTGGGGCCGTCACGCTAGTAGCGCCGTCTCCGGCCACCGCACCTACTCTCGCTGAAGTAGGTTTTCTTACACTATATAATCAATCCAAACAACTAGCGTCATTTAGGCATTGTTTGAAAAATATTCAAATCACTTTCCTAAAATACAATTTTTTTAGCTTTTCAATTCTTTTAATTTTGGATTTTCCTCTTTTCTTTATAGTTTCTCATTTTATTCTCAAGAAAATATCTTAAAATGAAATTGTGACATGATTAATAATCATCGATTGAAATTTGTGACACGTAGCATTATACAAAAAATCAAAATTAGTTTTTGATACCTTTTAAACCTTCACCCAGAAATATACAATTACAAACTCAAAACAAAAATTTTTGTTGAAATAGAATTTCTATTGAAAAGGATGAAATAGAGAAGAAAGTGAAAAAAAATAAAAGAAAGGAAAACAATTTCATCTTATGATATTTTGTTAAAAATAAAATGAGAAACTAGATAGAAAAGAGGAAAACCTAAAATTAAAAGAATTGAAAGGCTAAAAAAATTATATTAGGGTGTTTTGATGATTTGCATAGAGCTTTAGCTACTGAGGTCCCGTTTGTAGTCGTATCAATCGAGCATCGTCTTGCTCCCGAGCACAGGCTACCGGCAGCCTACGAAGATTGCTTGGAAGCTGTGCACTGGATCAAGAATTCACAAGACGAATGGTTGGAAAAGTATGCAAATTTATCAAACAGTTTCCTCATGGGCAGCAGTTCAGGGGGGAACATTGCCTATCATGTTGGTTTGAGTGCATCTTCATGCGTTGATGATCTTAAGCCTTTGAATATTAAAGGGTTGATTTTGCACCAAGCATTTTTTGGTGGCAACAAGAGGACAGAATCGGAGTTGAGGGCTCTGAATGACACGTTTATACCACCCTGTTGTACTGATGTCTTGTGGGAACTTTCATTGCCCGTAGGTGCTGACCGAGATCATGAATTTTCTAATCCAGTTTTGAGCATCAAACCTGGACAATTCGATCAGATTAAAGCTTTAGGATGGAAGATTTTAATGGCAGGATATGAAAACGATGCATTGTTTGATCGCCAATTTGAGATTGCCAAAATGTTAGAAGGCGAGGGTGTTCCCGTGATGTCTAATTTTGTTGAAGGAGGTTATCATGGAATTGACATGTTTGAGTTTCCCAAAACTAAAGTCCTTTGTGAGGTTGTGAAGGAGTTTATAATCTCTCTTGTGACAACAACTTAGACAACTAGGTCAGAGGTTTTTACCAGAATGAGTATTTATCCAAATGAACAATGATGTTAAATCTTTGTACTTCTCAACATGTTGCTCAATTTCTTGTGTGACAGTCCCACCTCATCCTAAGGCGAACCAAAGGGTTCAGCGGACCGCCTGCCCAGCTCTCGCCAGGACTACGGAGTCGAATCACACAAATCCGATATTATGCGAGATAGGACCCAAAAGAAATGAACGATTGAAGACCGCCAAGTTTAAACATGGGGAAAACGCTTTCATATATACATGTCGCTAGGTTTACAATTCAAATGGAACCAGTGAAACGAAATACATTTAGAGTTCGCTCATTCTCGAGGAGTTATACAAAAGAACAAAAGATTTCTAACTAGCTCAACTCGCTTCTCAAAATCATGATTTCCAAAAGAGGTTCCTGTAAGGAAAACAAAGATAACGAGGAGGGGGTGAGCTTACGCCCAATGAGGTACCAAACATGTAGCAGAAAAATCAGGTATTTCAGGTTATACAAACCAGATACACATGCTCGCTACAAAGCAAGACAGGTAAACACAAGAACTCAAATAGGAAGGATACAAGTGGCTCTCAGGAGCCAGCTTTCCAGCGCAGTACTTGATCCAAGCCGGTTGACTCTCCGTCAACGTATATAGAACCAACACGTCCGTAGACCCCACTTTACACTAAATTCCGTCCACCAAACACCCCTTTACCGGGCCCGCTCACCTCAACAGAAACAGAAATGGTAATACTCGAGTATACCGGAATCAAGGGTCTCAATACCCAAAGATCCCAAAACAGACTACCGTGGTTCGTTATCTAATCGTTTAGGCCCTTGCCGGCCCGACTCGAATAACTTAGCCACAGGATTTGAGCTCATAGGTCACAGAAAGGTCGTTGGTTACAAGTTTCCAAATTACGTCCGAACAGATACAGATACAGATTCAGATTGACACCAAAATTGGCATATGAACAGACAAGAGAACGAGTGTGATAAAATACACCCTCGTCTCAAACAAATTAAACAGATTGCAGAGCAGAAATCAAGTTAAACAGCAATGGAGGGGAGTGGTACACTCACCGGTTCAAGTACAGATACCTCAAAAGTTTTCACTTCGGATTGGTTTTAATCGCCAAGAAACCCTAAAATAATCAAAGTAAACCAATTGAAGGTTTCACATCCAGAATCGAGTAAACAAAATGCACATGTGAGGCTCGACTACTAGTCGTATGCCTCGTCAAATAATTACTAATGCAAGGGTACAAAACATGATTTTTTGGAACAAAAAGGTAACATGAAGACTTAGGTTCAACAACCCAAAAGCCCTTCATTTCTATCACAAGCCAATTCAAACTTAAAGGAACCAATCGGCCTAGAAAAATTGGACAGCACTTTCCCTAAATTTCTTACTTTTCCAGCCATCATGGCTTTATTATTTTCCTCAATCAACTTCCAAAGTCATACTCAATATACATTCATCACCACAGCCGTTCAATAGGCTCAAGGTTATCCAAGTACAAAAGCTAGCTAGGAAAATGACCGGAAATAAAAGTCAAACCCTAGAATATTCAAATAAACACAAGAAGACTCGATTACAAGTCATAAACCGATGCCAACACGATCACAATAGGGTTCTATAAGCATATATAAGCATTAGAGGAAACCAGAAAAATCCGAAAATTGAATTAGCTTTAGCCCTGAAAAAAATAGTTTTTGACCTCATTTTGCGGTAATGGCACCAATTTCACTACGATTATTGGATGAGGGTGCAAGACCCACCATTTCGAAGCTAAAAGACAGGGCTAGAACATCACAGAAGGTCACTCAACCCAGTTTTGAGTGCAAATAGGTCAAAAATGCAAGATACTACATCAAAACGTAAAACAGATTCACCAAAACGCATTCTAGCGGAAACATCATAACTCAGGCTCTCCAAGTCCAAATCCAGAAATTCCAAAACCAGCTGAAAGCTAAGAAACAGGGCTAAATTTCATCAGAAGGTCTCAACAACCAATTCGGAAGAAATTCCAGCCAAAACAACCAATTACAGGCGCAATTCTTACATTCGGATAAAACCAGGACAGCAAGGGTAATTTTGACTTTTCTCATTCTACACTACTCCGATTGACCTGAAATTTTGTAGGCACCTCTAGAATGTCATTCCCTACAACTTTTATGTTTTAAGCTAATGCCAATTAGGCCTCTAACTAGGAGCTAAAAATTCGGACAGAATGCTCCCACAAGAACCCTAATTTTCTGAAATTTCTTCCAAACCAGAAATTTGTTGCAATTAATCACTTTTTCCACCTCCTAGAGTCATTATATACCATTTTCAATCATCATAGATAGCCACACAATCATGCTTATATTAAAACAGAAAAATTCCCAAAAATAATAAAACTTCATCACTTCAACCACAAATCAAGAAATAATCCATAATATTGCATCTCATACCACCACTAATCATGATTTAAGCATCAATTAAGGGAGGAGAGGGGTTCATCCACTACTCACCTTAGTAAAACAAGAGAGAGAGCAACTTGTCACCTTAGCTTCCCAAACAACTCCACCAAACAACTCACAAACACTAAGTGAAGAGGTTTTATGGGGTAAAACTAAAATTAAACGGTTAAAAGTGAAGATTAAGCAAGTTTGGAGCAAAGAAATTAGAGAGCTTTTCTTCCCTTATTGCTTGAAGGTGGCCGGCCATATGAAGCTTAGAAATGAAGATATTTTGGTCAATTTTTGAAGTTATTATGGTAAATGGTAAAAGGTTGAATAGTAAGTCAAAACAAGATTTAATCATATGGTGACACATGTCACCTTCATTAAATGTATGCCTAACTTTTGTGTCTCTCTTACAACAATCCACTTGGCAACCTCTAGATATCTCATAACACCTGATAAATTAATTTCAGTATCCAAAACTTAACCTAGTTGGCCGAATTTTACCGAAGCACTAGCGGGTCCCACGTCCAATATACGCTCTTAATTTCTCAAAAACTAACCGATACTAGAAAAATCATTTAAAAGCTATATTTACTCATAAAATTTATTTGCACAATTTTTCGAATAAAGAAAAGGTGGAAAAATGTATAATTAAAAGAAATTAAAAACCTAGAAATTAAGAAAATTACGGGTCCTCACACTCTCTCCCCCTTAAAGAAATTTCGTTCTCGAAATTTTCTTATCAGCGGAATCCATCAAATCTAAGGTACCCAACGGATCGTACCTTCTACGTCCTCAAACGAGTCAGGGACCTGATGATGCTCCAGGGAATATACTCGAGCCGGTACTTTCGCTCCAGTCCCTTCTCCTTTCGACTGTCCAGGGTTAGTCTTAGCTGGTTGCTGAGAGTTAGTCTTGGTTGGTGGCGGAGTCCCTCTCCGCTCGCGCAGGCGAGTTGGACAGTTAGCAATCCGATGTTCAGCGCTTCCACAGCGCAAGCATTTTCCTTCTTTCTTCCAGCAATTGGTTTCAGTATGATTTGGCCCTCCACAATATCCACAGGAATCACGAGTAGCAGAGACTGATCCCCCCTGTGGAACACCACCTGTCACCCCCGGTAGCCGTACTTCCCCGTTTCCCTTTCGAACTTTAGGGATTGTACTATTATCCGCTTGTTCTGAGCTGCTCCCCGGAAAGCCCCTTTTTCTTACTTGGAAGTTTCTAACTTGTAACCTTGCAGTTTCAACGCGCTGGGCCTTCTCCACCGCATCATTAAAGGCATTAAGTTGGGCTACCGCCAGATCCTTTTGAATTTCAACATATAATCCCTGGATGAATCGCCTTATCCGTCTTTGTTCAGTTACAATCAGTTCGGGCGCAAACTTAGACAACCGAGTGAAGTGACTCTCATACTCGGCTACGGTCTGAGTTCCTTGGCTAAGCCGAATAAATTCACCTTCCTTCTTTTCTTGGATTAGAGGAGGGAAAAACTTGGTATTAAATTCCCTCATAAAGTTCACCCACGTCCTCGGGGTTTGTTCTCTTTTCCATTTCATTCGAATGACATTCCACCAGGAACGGTCGGCTCCCTCTAGTTGAAAGATAGCAAATGTTACCTGTCTCTCCTCGGTATAGTGTAAGGTAGCGAAAATATCGATCATCTTCTCCAGCCACTTCTCAGCTACGTCAGGATCAGGGCCTCCAAGAAATTTGGGTGGGGAGAACTTCTGAAATCTCTCAAGGGCTCTATCCTCGCCCTCTATGTGATTACCAGAATTCCCAGGGTTGGCGTTAGGGTTTTGACCTTGTTGGTGCACCACTTGGGCTAGCAAATCAGTCATTTGCTGCATGACAGCAGCTATTTGGACATTGGGGTCAACCCTAGGTTCAGGGTTTGGTTCATATGAGGTTTCTCCAGTGCGCCTCTCAGATATAGGTTGCCTAATTCCACGCCCGCGGCCCCGTCCACTACGAATGCCTTCCATTGGTCTAATAAATCTAGGGTCGAAGCGGGAATATAATATTAAACATAGGTAGGCAAAAGCAAGTAGCAAAAGGTACGCACAGATCAAAAGTATACATATATAACATAACTGTATCAAACAAGCCACACAGTAGCAATCAATTAGATACAAATCCATGAAAATAGCGGGGTTATCCAAAAGTACTATAGACACACTATGTCACACGTACAAGAATAACTAACGAAAAGTTTTCCCCTCTAGGGCTCCGTCCTTAATCTACGAGAACAACACCATTGATATCTTAATCAAGGTTGATCATGCTTAACAACACCCGAACAGACTGTGCGAAGTTCCATCAAATCACATTGCTAGTTCGCCCAAGTCCTTTCTAACCTAGGCTCTCATCTCTGTCGTATCCGGGTGCAAGAATCCCATCTAAGATAATTCACAACTCGAGCCGGCCGGTCCCAAGCGTAAATCATCCATATTAAAGATTCCTACCCGACATACATTCCTAACTTCCGCAAGTCCCATGGTAATGATCCTTACACTTATGACATGCACAGTTCATCGCTTACGCAAAA